GCTATACAAATAAAATTGAATTGAATTGAATTGAATTGATTGAATTTCTCAGCTGAGATCACATCATCTGTGTTTCCTTCTCATTATTCCAGTTTTGTTCCTCTGTGGTCAAATCAGTATGAACAAACCAGGTTCTTGGAGAAACTGTTCTGTGCAGCAGCAGAGAGAGAACAACAGACAGGAGAGAAGATACTGGAGCTGTTATCATCAGTGAGCAGCAAAGAAAGAATAACTTTAAATGACACATACAAGGATGGTAACTTAAAGGAAGATCAGTGTGATTTCCTGCTGGATCTGTGCTCCCATGTGAAGGACTGTGAGACTGAAACAGGTTTGAGTGTCCTTCCATCATTACACTCAGTTTTCCAGTCTGGTCCTGCAGTCTGGTTCATAAACCTCTCAGAGAGAAAGACCTCCATCCTCCTGGAAGTGCTGAAACTCCAATCAGAGAAGAAACAACTGGAGCTGACAGGCTGGTCAGATGAAGAGAGTGAAGTGAGGAGTTTCCTGCTGTGCCTGCCTTATATCTCACAACTCAGGTAAGTGAATTATACGTTGAATAAAATGTATTCTGAATTATGTTTGGAGCCATTGTTCTAGTATGAATGTTTCTGTTGTATTTCTATGTCATCAGTCTTTTATTTCCATATTAAGATGTTATCCATATAGGAACATATTTCAGTTATATTTAAAGTCTTCCCCCTTTCAAAAGAATACGTTGTTCTGTTTGCACCACAATATTTCAATATCTATTTTACAGTTTTCAGTCAATCCCTCCTCAGGTAAATTAATTGTACCATATAGGTGGAATTGAAAATACGTAAAGCTTTCAAAACAGCTAAGTTAGTATCCAACAAACCCAATGACACTAATGCAAAGAAATGGTAATTAGTCTTATCGGCTTGGCCTTGTTAGGGTTGACAGGGTTAACAGATAAATCTTGAAACCACATGAGTAAAAAATAGAGAATACATTTTACTGATTTGTTTTCTGAAATGTAAATCAGGAAAGTGTTCCAATGTTTTATATATAATTTATAAAGCCTCTTAATAAGAACTTTATTTTCTCTAATTTAATAAAGAAAAGTAAGTCATTCACCCACTGTGTTAAGGTGCACGAAAATGTATCTTTCCATTTGAACTAGACTTTATTGAAAATTTTTCACCTTATACTCAAGAGGCTTCCTGAGGTCTAAGTGACTGATCCTAGCTATTCTCATGCCCAAATCACATGACTAATGGCCTGTTAAGATTTGCATGCCTCGAGGTGTGAATGATTGTGAAACTGCCAGGTGAAGGATAACTCAAGGGATTATTGGAAGTTGAAACTGATCTGAAGACTGCTTTAATAATACCTGACTAGTGATGTCAATCTGGAATAGCCATATCTAAACAGAAGAGAGGGGACTTTCAGTCTACGATCCATTATTGCACAGACAAAGGAGGTATCATTCTGAATGGAGGTTGTATTAATGCAGCTGAGATCAAATCGTTAGAAAATGTTTTCTTCTTTTTGTTCCAGTTTTGTTCCTCTGAAATCAGATCTTGATGAACAAACCACATTCTTGGGGGAATTGTTCTGTGCAGCAGCAGAGAAAGAAAAGCAGACTGGAGAGAAGATACTGCAGCTGTTATCATCTGTGTGCAACGATGAAACATTAACTTTAAGTGACCCCTACATAGATGGCTTGGACGATGATACTATGGAAGAGGAGTGTAATTCCCTAATGGATCTGTGCTCCCATGTGAAGGACTGTGAGACTAAAACAGGTTTAAGTGTCCTTCCATCATTACAGTCAGTTTTCCAGTCAGATCCTGAACTCTGGTTTATAAATCTCTCAAAGAGAAAGACCTCCATCCTCCTGGAGGTACTGAAACTCCAATCAGAGAAGAAAAAAGTGAAGCTGACAGGCTGGTCTCATGAAGAGAGTGAAGTGAGGAGTTTCCTGCAGTGTCTGCCTTATATCTCACAGCTCAGGTAAGTGAATTATACACTGAACAAAAATATAAACGCAGCACTTTTGTTTTTGCTCCCATTTTTCATGAGCTGAACTCAAAGATCTGAGACTCTTGCTATGTACACAAAAGGCCTATGTCTCTCAAATATTGTTCACAAATTTGTCTAAATCTGTGTCAGTGAGCACTTTGCCGAGATAATCCATCAACCTCACAGGTGTGGCATGTCAAAATGCTGATTAGACAGCAGGATTATTGCACAGGGGTGTCTTAGGCTGGCTGCAATAAAAGGCCACTGTAAATGTGCAGTTTTACTGTATGGGGGGGGGGGTCAGGTCAGAAAACCAGTCAGTATCTGGTGTGACCACCATTTGCTTCACGTAGTGCAACACATCTCCTTTGCATAGAGTTGATCAGGTTGTTGATTGTGGCCTGTTTGTCCACACCTCTTCAATGGCTGTGCCAAGTTGCTGGATATTGGCAGAAACTGGAGCACGCTGTTGTATACGTCGATCCAGAGCATCCCAAACATGCTCAGTGGGTGACATGTCTGGTGAGTATGCTGTCCATGCAAGAACTGGGATGTTTTCAGCTTCCAGGAACTGAAAAATAAGAGCAGAAACAAAAGTGTTGCATTTATATTTTTGTTCAGTGCACTTTGCATGACTCACTCGAAGAAGAAACCCAAGGATTTATTGTAATGTTTTAAATTTTCCTGTTATCTTTATTTGTCATTAGCATTATATTTGCACATTGTGACTTTGTTCACGAGTTGATATTTCAGTTGTATTTAAACTCTGCCCCATTACAGAGAAGACACAATTCTTTACACCAGTTAGGTTTTACGTTACTTTTTGCCTTTGAATCTGCGAATTTCTTACATGTATGATCAGTTTTTAAAAGTAGGCCCTTATTATAAATTAAACAAGGCAACAGCATAGAAACTAAAGTAATTTATATCGGTATCAAAATGCTTGAGATCTACTCTTATTAAAATGTTTTCTTCTTATTGTTCTAGTTTTGTTCCTCTGAAATCAGATCTTGATGAACAAACCAGATTCTTGGGGAGACTGTTCTGTGCAGCAGCAGAGAAAGAAACGCAGACAGGAGAGAAGATTCTGGAGCTGTTATCATCAGTGTGCACATACAAAACATTTCCTTTTAATAACAAATACATAAATAAGGATCTGCAATATCAGAGTGATTTCCTGCTGGATCTGTTCTCCCATATGAAGGACTGTGAGGCTGAAACAAGATTGAGTGTCCTTCCATCATTACAGTCAGTTTTCCAGTCAGCTCCTTCAGTCTGGTTCATAAACCTCTCAGAGAGAAAGACCTCCATCCTCTTGGAAGTGCTGAAACTTCAATCAGAGAAGAAGAAAAAAGTCAAACTGACAGGCAGCTCAGAAGAAGAGAGTGAAATGAGGAGTTTTCTGCAGTGTCTGCCTTATATCTCACATTTAAGGTGAGTCAGATGAATGGAATATGAATGCCATTTCTTAGTTTCTCTGTATATGTTGTTTTGATTCAGTGGGATAACATCACAGTGGCTAGCACTGTTGATTCATGGCTTAAAAGTTTGCAGGTTCTGTGCCTGCCTCCTCCCATAGTCCAAAGACACACTGAGTTTAATTGGTGATTGTAAATTGTCCGTAGGTGTGAATGTGAGTGTGCTTGGGTGTCCGTCTCTCTCTGTTGATGGACTAGTGACATGTCCATGGTGTATCCTGTCTTCACCATAAGTCATCTGGGATAGACTCCAACCCCAGTGTGTAGAAAATTGATGGACTAAAACATAATCAAAACACTGCTTATTGTCTCATTACACTGCTGCTTCACAGTGGTCAAGTAGATATTGTTCCTGAACTTTGTGAACACAACACATTTTAGGATATTTTTTAAATGATAAATCATTATTTTTCTATTGATACAATCCACAGACTGAGTGAAGATTATCTTCAGCAGCTGCTCGTCCTCCTCCATGACATCCAGGACCAGGACTTGACACTGTCCTTGTTGAGTAAGGTTGCTGGAGACCTGACGTCCTGCTGCCTGAACTGGGAGCTTCTTCACTATCTGCTGCAGCTGTCGTCAGCTCAGACCATCACTGTGAACTTGAGGAAGAACCACTTCTTACAGGAGAGCGCCGCTCGTCTGCTTCCCTTTCTGGGCCGGATTGTATTTAAAAGGTGGTCGGTTTGGATTGTTTTTACCTCTTACCAAAGTCACAGCTTGTCTTCTTTCGTTATTTCTTTGTGAATTGATTTGGCTCATCTTTCATGATCACATTCTGAGCTCTTTAAACAACGTGTCCTTGTAAATGCACTTGATGCTTTCAGGCCCAGTCCCAGCTTCATGATGGCCTCCATCAGAGAGCTCTATAGAGCTCATGCCAGTCACATGGTCCCCAGTTTGCTGAGGTCATTGGATCATGTGATCAACCTGAGCTGCAGAGAGCTGGACTCAGTGGACTTTGCTGCTCTGCTCTTCACCCTCAGACACAGTGACGGAGTTAAACTGAACCTCTTGTGGACCTTCATACCAACGGAGGGTATACAGTCCCTCCTCTTTACACTGGACAAAGTTTCTCAGCTCAGGTCAGATATTAGAGCTTGTTTCCACCAGTATCAGTGTTGTCCAACACAGGACAGGATTCAGCTGTCCTCTGCCCCAGTATTGATGCACCACTGATGATTAGGTCTTCACTTATTTCATTATAAAGCAGTTTCTAATAATCCAACTGTTTTTATTTCAGCAGTGGCTGCAGTACTTTGCTTACATGTTAAAATCTCACTTTGGTCGTTGATGAAACCCTTAAAAACTCATCTCTCTGTGTCAGAATTACATATTCCAAGTGTTCTCTATGAAAATAGTTCATGCCTAAAAATGGCTTAGATGTAACTCTGTACTCTATGTTTGGCCTTTGACGGCTTATATCGCTTCTGATATCTCTTCTCGCATTAAAAAATTAGATGTGAACATGTTATGTAGGAAAAAAATATATATTTTGACCAGAGGGGGTAAACAGTAGATAAACTGTTTAATTTAGATGTGTGAAGTTTAACTGAACAAAAAGACATCATGACACCTTTCTACCTGCAGGATCACTTGCTGGGCTGCTTTTATCAGCTGCTCAAACTGTGAGCTGAAAAGAAAATGCAAAAGCCAGAGCTTTAGTTATTTACATTCTAATAAATCTCATACAAATGATGTAAAACACACATGTAGTTGGGCTTCATGGCAACAACACAGAAATGGACACTTTAACATTGTTTACAAATGACAGGTAATATTTTATCCCATTATAATGCAGGAAACTGTGGAAAAGACACTTGTTGGTATAATTATAAGATGAACTGAGTCTTGTTTCAGCAGCAGCAGCAGCAACACAGTTAAAGGC